AATAAATTAAGATTTTACACACATTTTTTACAGACAATGTCGCCTATATGCACATAGTTCTTCTCCATCGGATTCTTGATGTACTACAACGAGTCTCTTATTCGTTCAATTCTAGGAGAACACCAACAACTAAAGTGATGACCTCAAAAATTGATGGCATTTTGAATTTCGATTAAAATGTACCCCTTTGTGACTCTAATCGTTTGCATTTACAAGACAAATCATCAGCAACTCTTAATTGAGACGTTATGACAACGTCATACGATTAGTTTTCATAATTGTTCTTTAGGTACAACCAGATACACACCCTAATGGTATGAAAACAATTTCAATTATGGATTTTAATATCGAAAGAATTTTGATAAGTTATGGCTGAATCCAAAAGTGCCTCAGAACACCATCTTCCCCAATAAGCCATGGTTGATATCATTCGAACAGTTCGCTTCGCCATCTGTTTTCTAAGCATGAGGATGGATGGTTGATAACGCCATTGAATGTTTGTTGTTGTTGTTTTTTTTTTTATTTTGTACCCATAGCTAGCTGATATTTACTCTTCATCGAAGTGAACATAGAAAACATTTTTGAATGATGACAGCTCGCTAGGTGCTATTGCCAATGCCGGTAATGGTGATGTCAATTCCATTTTTGTTATTTTTATTTCCTTTTGTTTTACCGATCGAACTTTCAATAACATTTGTCACGACTCTGATGACAACATAAAATTTGGATCGATGATAAAGGAAATTGGGACAAATGCATTTGTAACTGTACAAGGGTTTCAAGAATAATTATACTCATTAAATATAGTCGTATATAGTAAATATAGTTATAGTACGTTTGCAGTTTACCGGATTTATGCTATGTTCCAGATCCTGCAAGAATCTATTAGTTTTCAGATTTTTTCCGATGTCATAAAGGAAAAATCGGTTAACGGTTATCGCAGTTCTGGAAAAGAGCATTAGTAAACCCAGTTGATGAATTCAATTCAATCATTGGCTTGGGAACATTGATATGTCAACATTTGCTTTGTCAAAAATAAGTAGATTTTTATGTGTTTTCTTACACGACGCAATTCGGAGGTTGTTCTGATAAGTATTTTTTTAAGATTATCAAAATTGGCTTGACAATTCATTATCCCAGCAGCTGTGTCGATGCAACTATCTGTATTCTTCTACCATGGAATGTACTTCAAATAAAACCTCATAAAGAAATTTAATGAGACAAAAAGCTCTAATGTAAACATACTATTACTTCCTTATAATAAATAAAATTATCCTACAGTAGTGCTATTCTGGAATTCGTTAAAGATGAACATTTAATAAAATGACACTTAATTTCATTTATTCTTAAATTTGTTGATAAGTTTGCGGCCAAAAAATACAACCGCTTAGACTAGCCCATAGAAATAGTTTTTCACTTTTATTTCGGATTTTAGTTCATAATTTTGTGTTTAAGTTTTACTCTTTTTGTTGGAAAAATCGTTATAGAATCGCACTACTGGACTATATTATTTCCGCCCCACAACACGTGTGACAGACGTATGATATCATAATTCGTCAAAGAACAGAACCAATATTTTTTGTCAAAATTGAATTGAATTTTTTTTCGAATAAAACATGTTTTTGTTCTCTTTTTATTGATAAATATTTACACTTAAATTCAATTCTGTTTGTACAAGTTTATTAAAAAATATCTGCGTATGTATTTTATATCAATTGAACGTATTTTCACCAAAAATATATAGACATGCATGTTTATATTCAGTAGACTCCCACGAAAAACCAAAAAAAAAAAAAAACAATTAACAAAAGAGGGGCAAAGTTTAGTGTATGTACACTTGTATGCATATTTATTATGAAATAAATTGTACCGGCTATGGTTGTTCTTGAATGCATATAACGGCTTTACAGTGAAATCGGATAGAAATCTGTCTGAAATAGAAATCTATCTGAATATGGCATGAAAACATGGAGGATACATCTAACAATGGCAGAATTACGAGGTAACCGCATCAGGCCAACTAGATATGCCAACCAAATTGCTGCAATTTGAATTCGCCACACATAGGCACATTAAGAAATTTTTGATAGATTTGAACATTTTAATAAGGCAACTGAGAGTTAATCGAGAAAATCGGTGTAGGTCAGCCTTTTTACGCTCTACCAGATCAGAGCACGGCCAATGTTAAACATTTTGCATGGTCCTACTGAAAATCCAACTGGAACGTTAATAAGTGAAATTAGAAATCTTTTTTATCTATAAACCAATTTCGATAAATATCAAATATTTTTTTGCAAATATTTTTATACTCACCACCTTGAAAAAAAGGGTATATTAACTTTGTCATTCCGTTTGTAACATCACTAAATATTCGTCGCAGACCCGATAAAGTGTATATATATTGATGTCTGTCTGTCCGTCTGTCTATCTGTTGAAATCATGATACAGCCCACATTATTTGACGCAGAGCTTCAAATTAGGTACAACAATGCGTATTATGTATAAGATGGTTGGTATTGAATATCAGATATATCGGTGCACTTTTTGGTATAGGCGCTATGTAACGGTACCTCCCGATATTTGGTATTTTGATTATTTTCGCCACATTATTTCACGGATTTGTCTAAAAATTGGTATTTTTAGGTCATGATAGGTTCTAGCTCCGGTGGCGAAATATTGTATGTATAGGTCCACGTATTTGTAAGGCCCCAAATATCAGTACCTACGATATATGTTATTTTGAAGATTTTAGTCATATTTTTCACGGATTTGTCTAAAAGTTGGTATTTGTAGATCATAATAGTTTCTAGCTCCGATGGTGAAACATTGTATGTATAGATCCACGTTTTCGTATAGCCCCCACATAATAGTACCGCCGTATATGCGGTATTTTAATGATTTTTGCCACATTTTTTCACGGATTTGTATAATAATTGGTATCTGTAGTTCATGATGGGTTCTAGCTCGGGTGGCATAACATTGAATATTTAGGTCCACGTTTTCCTATGGTGCATATATAAAGATACCCACCGAAATTCGGTATTTAGATAATCCTAGTCACATCCACGAAATTGTTTCAAATTCGGTATTTAAGAAGATTTGATAGATGATCCTTGAATTATAAAATTGTCTATAGAGGTTCCCGTTTTGGTACAGCCCCCATACAACGGTCTTACCCACATTATGGTTTTTTTAAACACTTTTGAATTCAGATTCTTTTATATAAAAATGTTTTCTTTACCCAAAGGTGGTATTAAAAGTTCAGCCGGCCGAACTTAATGTTTTTTTACTTGTTCTGGACTATATAAAGTATATATATGAAGAGCGTATTACGGATTTGGGATTATTTAAATGTTGCATGAATCATATACTTATATGACATGTGAACCGATTTTTAACCGAATTTCAAACACTGAAGCTCAATTTGGTTGTATGCACAAAATTATATTCTATTGACTTGGATATTACGCATTTTGCACGCAAAAAAAACGTGAAAATCGACGAAAACGTATGTTTGGGCTATCTGAATACCGATTACCACCAATTTCGATCAACATTTGGAAGGAACAGACAAAATGTAAAAAAATCCGTTGAAAAATGTCGCTATATGTTTAAAATACTGAATATCAGGTTTTACAGTTATATGGGGCTTTACGAGAACTTGGACTTTTGCAGCCAATTACATGCCCATTAAGAACTCTAAACACCAAGTTGTAATATTATTCTGTTGGAAATGTAGCTATCATCATAAAAATACGGAGGCTAAATGAAGACGTGAATTTCCTATAATAGGAAGCAATTCCCACTGTAAACTCCCAATTCAGAATTGGAAATAATTCTGGTTAAAGGTTTGGTAAAAATCGTCAAAATTCCGAATATAGGGGATACATATATAGAAGATATAGGAGGTTGCATGCTACAATAAGGAGGTAGAGAGCTCAGTAAAATCACAGGTATACAGCACTCAGTTTCTGCCCGCCTTCTGTCAGAATTATTCAAAACAGGTAAAAAAAGCATTAAGTTCGGCCGGGCTAAACTTTTATTACCATCCACCACTGAGTAAAGAAAATATTTTTATTAAAATTATCAGAATTCAAACGTGTTTCACTTTAAACTACAAATACCAGTAAGACCGTTTGGACTTTTATACCATAAAGTGTTTGAGTCCGTTATATGGATACCATACCAAAACGAGAACCTTCATAGACAATTTTATAATTCAAGGATTGTCATCTACCAAATCTTCTTAAATACCAAATTTGAAACAATTTTAAATGTGACTACGATTATCAAAATACCGAATATCGGTGGGTATCGTTATATGTGCGCTATAGGAAAACGTTGACCTAAATATTCAATCTTCTGCCACCGGAGCTAAAACTCATTATGTGAAAATGTGGCAAAAGTCGTCAATATACTGAATAGCCGGAGGTACCATTATGTGGGGGCTATACGAAAACTTGAACCTATACATACTATGTTCTGCCACAGGAGCTAGGACCCATTACAAACTACTATGACTAGGATTATAAATATACGGAATATCGGTGGGTATCGTTATATGTGCGCAATAGGAAAACGTGAACCTAAGTATACAAATATTCTGCCAGCGGAGCTAGAACCCATTATGAACTACAAATACCAATTTTTAGACAAAATGTGGCAAAAATAATCAAAATACTGAATATTCGGAGGTATCATTATGTGGGGGCTATACGAAACGTGGACGTATATATTCCGCCACCAGAGCTAGAATCCTTTGCGAACCATAACTTTTAGACAAATCCGTGAAAAAATGTGGCAAAAATCATCAAATACCGAATATCGGGAGGTACATTTATATGGCAATACCAACCATCCAAGACATAATACAAATTGTTCTGCCAAATTTTTAAGCTCTACGTCAAATAATTTGGGCTGTATCGTTATTTCAACAGACAGACAGACAGACAGACGAAATCGTTAAATCGGCTTAGAATTTTATGCTGATTATAAATATATATACCTTATGGTGTCTACGACGAATATTTGGGGATATTACATACGGAATGACAAAGTTAATATACCCTCCTTTTCAAGGTGGCTGTCTGATAACATGCATTATTCTTATTTCCTAACGCAATTGTCTGCCATACATTTCTTCGCATAATATGTACAACAGTATATTCCCAATATTATTTAGTATATTCCCAATATTATTTCCTAGAGTTGGACATTAAAATAAAAGGAAGTTTTAGTTTACATTCCAACAGTATCGTATATATTTTCTGCATTACTGCGATTGTCCTTTCGATATGACCTCATTAAGTCCATTTTATAGTTTGCCAGAGCTTTTTCCAATATTTGTTCAACAGGTGAAAAAGTAGAGCGGGAACGCAGGCGAGCTTTGGTCATCTCAAGAGACTGTTGAAATAATAAATAAGAAGAAAGTTTAGAAAATCGATACTAACTTTTTAATAAAACATATATGAAAAAAAACAAAAAACATATTTTATCAATTGAAATTTGCAATTGCTTACCTTTATTAGATTGGCATTTCTCACCATTGCCTCGTCGTATGTCAATATTTTCGGTTCTTGGTTGTATGATTTATTTTCTATAGATATAGCGGCATTCTTTTCAAATTTCTCTTCCTCGCGTTTTCTAAAAGATTAAAAACAATGCATACCTTAAGGATGAAGAAAAAATATTGAGGCACCCTGTGACAGCTTCCCATGAAACTTGGTTTTTTTTGTTGGGATTAGCGGAGAAATTTAAGTTTATATTTATTTTAATGCGTTATAAAAAAGGACATGGATCAAACTAGAAACTATTATAAATTGCAATACATTGTCTATTATTGTTTTTTAATTAGTCTAAATAAGACATTTTCAATATTAACATTAGTAAACATTTTAAATGTGCATACTGATGATTTGTGTGCGTTCAATCGGATGCAACATATATCAATTATATTGGGATCATATTACGACATTACTGCGTTTGGGAAGTTTTTTATTTCGAATCCAAGAAACCGATTTGGCTCAGGCTTTTTGCTCTGTTCCAGAACCTTCAAGTTTCTACTAGTTTTACATTTTTTTCGATGTCATGAAATCGCTTGTCGTTGAAAAAAAAATTACATTCTTGCAGTTCTGGAACAGAGCATTTATAGTCCAAACTTGACGATCCAAATTTATTCATGTCAACTTTTTCGGCCAATTAAAATAAATGGAAATATAGAATATTTAAATCCAAAATATTTTACGTACACAGCATCTAGCTTGGAATCAACCTCAGCTTCCAGTGCCATAAACTTTTCATTAATCTCTTTAATTATATCCATTTTTCACAAATAATAACAATATTTTTTGAATCTTTAATATGAATGTTTGTTTTTATTTACACAATTTACACACCTAGGAATTGATTTTCATTTTGTTACCTTGGTAATGGTTACCATGGTGATTTTTATAATAGGATTATAAAAGGTAGATTAACTCGAGTTTAAACACAAGATATAACAATTAGAGAGCATATAAGTTATTTGTTTGACAGTTTTATAAAATTTGCCATGGTTGAATTAAGAAGGAAAGATGTTGCAATCATGGTACAACAAAATCAAGGTAGGCCTATGATATAATATGATTTAAATCACGGTACAATAAAAAGGTAAGGTAGAGCTCCCAGCTGATTAAAATTTTTTTCTAAGTGTGTGAATATTTTCAAAAGCAATGCATTATTAATATTAACCAGATTTGCCATGGAATTGAAAGATTGCACACTTTTATTATTATTTGTCTTTTCAATAATAAAAATTGTTCAGAAAGTATTCAAATTAGGGTGTTTTCAAAATGCTTATTGCAACGTATGCATCTACATCTACAGTTTTTGTATCGAAATAAATCCTTAGAGATATATAGAACATGATTTTGAAAAGAAATTTTGATCTTTCATTTAGTTTTCGCGGTTTTCAATTATTTATTCAAAATCAATGCAATAAGTTGTTTAGTTTCTGACATTACAATCCATGCAGGTAGGTCTCGCTACTAGCAATTTTTTCGACTTAGCCAACATTTTCTTCATTGTACCATGGTTGCAATTATGTTTACAATTCTTTCAAAATTATTCATTCGACAACATCTTATTTGTGTGTGAATGAATTGAGTTATAATTTGAATAATTAATTAATCATTTTGAGTTTTCATTGAATAAAAGTCGATCCCCATTCTGAAATAAGCTAAATGATTCCGACTGGTCTTGTGTGTTTTGATGTTTTTTATTAAATGTTGCCAACGTCACTCTTCAGCTGCAATTTTATTTTGGGGTTCGTAACGAGCGCATGGTTACCTGGTGAATATATTCCATATATTTAGAGGTTTTCACATATACATTTTAAACATACAGCGGAACACTTGCAATACAGCAGGCTTTACAGCATTTGAAAGTGTATGTGTAAAGCATGGTAAAATTAAGAAGGTAAAGTCATTTCAAATAAGCATTCCCATCTCTGCATTTTCTGTAATTTAACTTGTCAAATTTCGGGGCATAAAACAGGTTGCCATCTCTGATTTGTGTGCATCCAATGGATTTGTAAACATAAATCTTAAAATGAGATGTTGTCAAATTTAATAATAATTTTGAAAAAAAATGTAATCATATGATTAAGTTTAAGTTTCTATAGTTTGAGAATGTATGTGCGAACATGGCTTAATAAGAAAGGTTGCTCAACTTCAAAGAAACTAGAATAATGCAACTCTGTGATTGAGTCTTATAATGTCAAAAAGAGTTTTAAATATGCATCAGTTGGTTTTGTATATTTTTCAAATTTTCTAAATTCTTATATTGGGTACATCCCGCGAAACAAGAATTCAATTTTGGGGTTATTCCACAAGATTGAATCTAAAATAGTAGGACAATACAGTTTTACCCCTACATTGTACAATGTCTTGCCCATTAACGTCGAAAATATGCATTTATTTTGCAACCGAATTTGAAATTATTTCAAACTAGCTGGCCCGGTCCGCGTTGCCGGCCCGTAGTTTTTGTCTATTATGCATATTTGTCAAAGCATAATTATTCAAAGATATGAATGTTATAAATGTTCACGTACTGGTCGATTAGTTTTTAATTTTTAGTCAAATGAGCAGTAATTTGGAATTTACTGTACTTTGTACACCTCATAATTGAGGGCTAATTGATTTAAGAATAGCCAAAGTTAATTACTTTAAACCCATTAGCACCTCAGATTGTGCATTAGAGTCCTCATAAGTCCCCCTAACTATGTCGGTCTGTTTGTCCGCCAAAAGGTGGACTTGAGGGGGTACTATTACATGGAGAAAATTCTAAAATTTGTAGATATGTTGACATTTTTGTGTAAGATTTTCACCCCCAAATACACATTTTTAGCCAAATCCTTTGAAATATGGTAAAATGCGAAACATCGACCTACATTGAAAACTTTCTTCACCCCTTATAATCCAAGATGACAAATAGAGGCCAAATCGAAAATATATCAGAACAACATATCATGTCAAACTGAAAAAAAATCACGTGATTTAAATAAGTAAAAATAGTTTTATCCACCTCATAATTGAGGTCAGACTGATTTCAGAATAGTCAAATATAATTACTATTTTACACCCATTACCGTAATATGTGAACTAATTTTAATTGTCATTTAAATTGTAAATTGGAGACCACATAAAGTCCATATTTTTCATCATTGTATAATTCAATGACGATTCAACAAATATTCGGTCCCGTGCTACTTTCTTATATTTGTAATTTGTTCATGTTTTCACAATTTATTTCATATAGATGTATATCCCAAATCTACGTTCCCAACCAATATTCTCTTGGGGGTTACAAATTCAATAGAATACAATTTTTTTTCTGACCACACATTAGATGTGAAAGTGGACTTGGGGATACTCCAATGTGGGGACTTTACATGAATAAATTTATATGTGGCAATTATCTGTACGATGGTTCTTTACCCCAGGGTAGCATAAATACAATTTTTTAGTGGTCAAGACCAATATGGGCTCTACTCCAAAATCTTAGAAACAAAGATGCCAAATAAAGGCCAAAAATAGAAGAAAGTGGCGAAGACTCCAAAAATGACTTAAATCATACGATGGTTATTTATGATCGATATCATGACCTGCAAAAGCGATTTAAGGTATCTTAAATGTTCAGAAGAATTTTTGGAAGGATAGAAATCCTTTTCTTTCCCATTCGCTCTACTACTTTGCACCATTGATATTTGGTATTTTACTGATTGTACTCCCAAAAATTTTGCATTTTGAGCTATCATTGGACGGATTATTGTCACATGAAAGAAGTAGGTCCACGCTTTGAATTGAGCTCCATTAGTCTTTTTCGGTCATTTTTGTTTGTTTAAATGTGTTCGCATCTTCCAGCTGAACTACGATGAAGGCTCTGGAGTTGAATGGTAGATGTCAGTTAACATCGTATTTCGCACTTATTTTATTTAATTTTTTTTTGTTTTTTTGTGAAAAATTGTATATATTAAAAAATTATTCTTTATTCTAATCCACTGAATTCAATATCAAAAAACTCAAAAACTTCATCGTCTGTACAGCAAGTTTTATAGTGAGTGGCCGCTGTACTGGGATTGTGACGCATAGAATTGCCAACCATAAATATTGACAGTTTGAGATAATTCTTCAAATTCCATCCCTGGAAATAAAGGGCAATGATCACGGATGGTTGTCAACGACATCTTTACATTCTCACATTCGTAAACCAAGTAAACGTCAATTTTATTTTACAATGTCTCTTTATCGACATCTCTTTGCCGCCTTTCGATTCATAACATTTGAAATGTATTTCATTGGATTTGTTCAAAGGTTTTTTTTGCAATATTATTAAATTGATTCCACTGCAGGTTCTGTGGTACCCATGGCAGAAGAATACAGGTAGATGCATCAACGCTTGGGAGCATTGATATGTCAAAAAAAATTCAAATGTTTTTTAAATGTAAGTAGATTTTTATATGTTTTCTTATACTACGTCATTCGGAGGTTATTATATTTCGCGTTTTCAACAATTTTTATAAATTTAAATGATTTTTCATTCAACATTTTCAATTCCAAAATTGGTTTGAAAGTTCATTGTCTCAGCAGCTGTGTCGACGCGTCTACCTATATCTTTCAACCATGGTAGTACCATGGTACAATGAAGAGAAGGTAGGTCAACTTTGAAAAAAATGCAAGTATAGAGGTCTACCTGTTTGGCTTGTAATGTCAGAATTGCTATCAAAAAAATAAAAAAGCAAACAACTTGTTGCATTGATTTTGAATAAATAATTTAAAACCGCGAAAACTGAATAAAAGGTCAACATTTCTTTTCAAAATCATGTTCTATATATCTCTTATGGTTTATTTCGCGACAAAAACTGTAGATTTTGTCGATGCATACGTTGCAATAAGCATTTTAAAAACACCCGAATTTGAATATTTTGTGAACAATTTTTCTATTATTGAAAAGAAGACACACACATAAGCAAATGAAGTTGACATATTAAGCCAGAAAAATAAAAAAATTGAAATCATATGGTAGTTCTGCCCTACCTTGAATTCATTGTACCATGGGTAGTACCATGCATTTTCTCTATAACTTCCGCCCAATCCAAGTGCCTGCACCGTTTTGTTCGATTTATTCGTTTAGTTCAATGGTGTGTAAACCACCTTACACTATTTTCATCTTTCACTTCCCTTTTTTGCTCAACAATGTTTCTAGTTCCGCGCTCTTTTTGTGAATTTTTTTAGTTTCCCTCGGGTTATGCATTACACTCATTCGTAAACAACAGATTTCCCTCGGTGGATTTTGCTTTCTGTTTATTTTTTATCAAGTATTCTTTTGGCTTTATATTCGTTTCGTTGGAGAAGTCGACTTACCTTACCTTCTTAAGCGGTTTGAAAGGTTCAAAAGTTTTAAATTGCTAATAATATTTCTTAAGCGGAATAAATGAAATTAAGGATTCAACTGAATTTGTTTGTATGTATTCTACGCTATTTGTTATTATTTAATAATGAAAAAAAAAAATGCCGCAGAACTTCTTCAAAGATAGCGGCCGGTGAGCTTGAAAAGTCCATTCTATACTGAAGAATATATTTTCCAATAAACGATGCTGACATTTTATGTTCATTTCCAAAAGTTTAAGAATTCCAAAAAAGATTTATATTTGAAGCTTTAGACATTGTTCCAAAGCCTGGAAGTTGGAAAGAAAATGGGACTATAAAACGGGTAAAAATCAGTCCCTTTATAAAGTATACTATCATCCTGAACAAAGTACATGAAAGTTAGAACATTATCTTTATAACTCCCCATAATCTAAACGATTGAACAATGAAAAGCCAACAAACGGGAACTACATTTGAATTTGCTATGGAACAATAGGAAGAAAATATGAACAGAAATAATTTGTTCCTTTTAAATCCTGCTCTATTTGCACCTTGTTAATTTATAAAAGCATAATTGTAGATTTAAGAGCGTTCATTTATAAACTTATGTCGGCATTTAATTGAAATATTCGAAATATTAAAAATGTCCTCTCTTTTCCACTTCCCAACTAGAATCGAAATGAATTGGCGTCGTTGCCTTTTTGTGATCTTATCTTCGATGTTCTATTGTGAATTCCTGGGTGATTATATAAAATTGAATTCATGCTCATGGCCAGCTCTAGAACCAAATGAACTTCATGCTATGATTATTGCTGATACCCATTTATTGGGACCTTTCCGGGGACACTGGCTGGACAAATTATATCGTGAATGGCATATGCGTAGAGCATTTCAAGCGGCCTTGTTTCTGCACCGACCAGATATTATTTTTGTTCTTGGGGATTTATTCGATGAAGGTGACATGGTTGATCATGATGACTTTCGAGCATATGTTACGCGATTTTATAGTCACTTTCGAACCAACATACCCATAATAAGTGCAGTGGGAAATCATGATGTTGGATTCCATTATAAGTAGGTATCACAATATGAGATTTGCAATGATTTTTTAATACTGATTTTATGGATAATTTCAGAATGCATCCATATTTTATGAATCGGTTTGAGGAACAATTCAACAACACGGGTGTTCAAATGTATACATTAAGAGGCATTCACTTTGTGCTCATCAATTCAATGGCAATGGAAAATGATGGCTGTGAATTTTGTCAAACAGCTGTTGAGGAATTGCACAGTGTTGCAGGTACGTCAAGATAATTCTTATCTCTTTTCGATAGACACGATACGATTATCCATAATCATATCAAGTAGAGGTACTTAAAAAATAATTTACATAATTAATATATAACAAATAAACTGAAATGTTGCCATTTTTATGTATAATACCACTTGACAGTACTTATCAACAATACACTTTCTTTCTTTCTTATACACTTGAAACTTTTTTCAGCTAAACTACATTGCCTTAGGAATCTTAATACATGTAATGATTTCGAAACAATTAAAGAACACGTCAACTATAGCCGTCCCATAGTATTGCAACATTTCCCCACATATCGTAAATCTGATCGATCATGTAGAGAACATGATTCGCTTAGAATTGAAGAATATCGAGAAAAATGGGAGGTTCTATCGAAAAATTCGACAGATTGGCTTGGTAAGTTGGGAGCTATTTAATATTTTAATTACTCTAATGGAACTCTTTTCGTTGGCGCCAAGGCAAATTACTGCATCCGCGTTTAGCATTTGCCGGTCATTCACATCATTACTGTTATTCCATCAATAGATGGGGAATTGAAGAGTATACGGTTGCTTCATTTAGTTGGCGAAATAAAGTTAACCCCAGTTTTCTAATGGTATGCAAAAAATTTTCTTAATTTAAATTATTTTTTAATTATTTTTTTCGTTTTGTTTAAAGGCTTCCTTAAATCCCACCAAACATTCTGTGCACAAATGTCCTATGTTGGAGCAGCCAACCGTCTACATACTGTACATATTTACCGGTTGCCTTTGTATTATATTAATTATTATAGACATTTCAAAATGGTTATATAGTTTAGTTAGAAGATCAAAACCTCTTATAAAAACTCAATAAATTTTTTACATAAATAAATAATTAAATAAATTTTAATAATTAATTTCATTTTCGCTGCCAGTACTGGATGGAGTTACATTGAATCTCTCTTCGTGCGCCAAATACCTCGGTATTAAGGAGCGTCCTAAAAAGGGCCTCATTGCACTCTATTTATGCAGAAAAGGCATAAAAAAGTGTTGGGAGCTTAGACTAGAAGTCGTATAATGGATGTATGTCTGACATATGGGTGTCTCATCTGGTGGCCGGATCCTTACACACGACCGGAACTCTCAAGAGCACTGCCTAATCTGCATTGGATATGCTGCTAAGCTTCCAGCTACCTCCATCCTTTTCACGCCTTGGTCATGTGTGAATTCTGGATATACCAATTCGTCGGTACATCTTAGGCAAATGTAATAGATTAGTGATTACATGCCAAGAAAGCCGTACTTACAACGTGGATTCATAAAGCGGTGTTGGGTTCCAGGATATAACAACATAGTTGGGAATGAAGTTGCTGATGCATTAGATCGAGGCAGATCCCATTGATTGATTGATGAGACTGTTAAACCATAGATGTGTTATTATGTCAGCTGCTTCAAAAAAATCACCGAGAAAAAACTAGAAGAATATGGTACTTGGACACCAGGCGCAGTGTATCTAAGGTCATCAAGCTCCTTTCTATCTATTCCATGTTGGACATACCGACTGATACTGCAGTATCAGATTTCAGACTTCAAGACTGTAGACTATTTTGCACATTATAAAATCGTGGATATCCTTCTATTTGGCGGAAAAGTTATAGGAGAGCTATTACAAAGCCTGGACCTAAATTATGAAATGTTATAACTATTGCGGTTGTGTATTGTCCAAGCATAAATTATAATTTTGTTGATAAAAAGCTTTCAACCTATGGAAACGGATACATATCAAACTATACCTAATTCGGTTTGTACATGAGAACTCAGATAGCCAATTAAGACCAATTCGGCTGAAATAATAAAAATAATGTCATAACCTCTGTAATCTGTTACACGACATTATATCAATTAGAGTCTCGTCTTTAATACCCGATCCTGACGCTGACGCTGAGGTAAGGGTCAATTGCTCCATATTTCGCGACTCTTAAATAGCCAAACTTATGTGCTGGTCTTCACATGAAGAGAACCCCTTAACGCTGGACGTGCTACCACGTGTCCATCAGTGTTACATGTTTGTAGTCAGGGTACCGACAGTATTCTAACGGAGCTTCGTTGATACCGGGGCGCCTAATTGAATATTAGGTTTAGTTACCGACAATGACTAATGACAATCAGCAAGACTACCAATGCGAAGTTTTTCTTGACCTTGGAAACGACAGTTTCAAGAAACAGCAGCAAGCAATCCACCAGATCTTTATAGGACCTTTAAGGCTTAGTCAGGAGAGTTTCCGTGTAGACTTCTGGAAAAACCCCTTGTCTGACGAGGACAAGGACATGGATGTCACAGTAGTTAAGCCCTTGACCTCTAGTCAGGGTTTGACTCCCGGCCAATAAGCGATCTGCCAATACAATACGACGAACCACACTCTCATGTCAGGAGGCAATCGAGGTAGAAAGATACATATCAACGTCTCCATTGATAAAATGGACGTGCCGCTGAGCTTTTCCAAAACAAAGAGTGTCAAATCCAAGGAAATGAAGGAGAGTGAGCAGTAAACTACTGTAGTGAACCCAGTCGAGGACTCCAAAAAGGCGACGACCGCGGGAATACCCTACTTATTTGGAAAGGTGGTGTCGCAGTAGCTTTTAAGGTGCCAGAGTCGGAGGTACCATTCCCCATAGCAAAGGGAGATGAAGTCTACGGAGACGGGGGCCTAAAAATAGGCTGCGAGGAAGAAGAATAACTTAAAATATTTTAAACCCTCGAATCCGGCTCTGCCGAACCAGTTGATTCATCAATACAGCCCGCTACAACGGAGACTGTGCCCTGTTGGGCATACACTTAAGCCAGTATAGGCCCGTTGTGTGCTTTAGTCTAAAGGGTTTTTTGAAGAAGACGGGCAGTTTACAGTCTGTTATATTTGAAATTCAGTTGCCTTTATGAAATTTCTTAACTGTTGTATATCATTTACCATGATCTGATTAAGGTCTGGAATAGAGCCGTTCCCTAAGAATTGGGATCTGATATTTGCAAACGTGGTAAAACAACAGGTAAACAGGGCAGAGACGACTACGACGAAGGCAAGGCATTAATTTCGAAATTCAATAAAAATGGGAAAATTTCAAGTATTAAGTTGCCTTCCTCTTTTGCACCTTGCTGTTCCTTTATAATGAGGCCAATTTGTCTTGTTGTAGGGGAAAACTAAATGGATTAGTCATAATGTTAAGGCCATAGCCAATCAGCCTTTGGAATACGCTTTGATCTCATCTGCATCATTTTTACACAATGTTGTATATCAATCTGAGCCTGGTATCCAAATGAATCTGAGGAATGAAATCATACAATATGATGAGCATAGTTCCGATCAAAAAATCCAAATTGTTAGAAATTAATTCATTATTTATTCAATAAAATCATTTATTTGTAATTTTATGCTGCATTGGCTTTTCTTGTACATATTTACGTGTTATGTTCAATTTATATATTTGTATATAAACATAAAAATACCAGTAATTTTATCACAGATATTTTTTTCGTGAATAAAAATTTGTCTTCAGTGTTATTATTATTATTATTGTTTTACTCGTGTATATCTATGTATGTGTTGAAATTAAGTCATAAAATTAAAATAGTAAGTCTGATGCCTGATGACTAATAATTTATATATTTTTAAAAGAAAATATATTAAGGTAGACTTAAGTAATGATATTCAACCATTTAAAATGGATCTATTGCAACAAGTTTGTAATGAGTGGAGAATTTTTTTTTTTTGTAAAAATATAAAAAGTCTGAACTATATAAATATTTTAATTCTCTAACAAAGCATATTCATTTTCCGATTTTACACTAAATTTGCATTGATCTAAAATGGCCAAATTTAATAGAAAGTTTCAGATAAGTTTCAAAGAGAAGAGAAAAAAAACAGAAAGTTTCAGAAGAGTAGTTTACTTTAAGTTGTTTGTGTAACTTCGATGGGCTATATTAGGCTTTGTTACGTACATACGGAGCATATGTTTTCGATTACTTAACGGAACATATTATTTAGTCATAATTGAAAAAAAGTTTTTTTAAGGATCGCTTCAATTTTCGAATTTGTCCAGACTCCAAAGGAAGGAAATAATATAAATTATGTAATTTTGTATTATTAACATTTTGCTATACAAATGCGATAATCTATAATTTAAATTTTTTTGAAAACTATTTTTTAATAATTTGCAGCCAATAATATCTTTGTATTGGAAATCTCTAAATAATATATAAAACTAGTTAACAAAAGGAATTTTCAAAATTCTCCTATGTAAGTAACTAAAAAATAAACTATTACAACTTAAAATTTGCACTTAACAAATATTACATAAATATAAATACTAATTATACAACTAAACCTAAAAGTATATATGTATAGTAATATATAACTTAATAATTAATTCCACAAAATATAATTTGTGGTCTTGGAACCACATGCCAGCCATATACGTACATAAGTCCATATCTATATATGTATATTATTTAAGTGATTGTTCATGGCACAATGCACTATTACTGCAGATTTTACGTCTTTATTTTATTTAGGCGGCGATAGTTTTTTTTCAATTCATATCAATTACTTGGCACCCATATTCTTGAACAAAACAGATATTTTGTCCTACTCTCCTTTCATAAATATTTCCCGATTAGACAAGTAAGTCCTTGCTCAAATGGTGCAATTTTCCAATCCCCTTGAAAAATATAGATTGTTGTTTCAGTTAAGTTTACAAATGCGCCATGAATATTTATGCATTTTTTTTCGAATAAAGTTCTTATTTCATTTTTAGTAATGTAGATAGGTTTATGGAAGTTATATATGTATTGACTAATTATATATTTTGTATTCGCTAAATTTGGCAAGGTATTGATTGTCCTATATATTATATATAAACATAATTTAATATTTTGCACCTTTTCCCATATTATCCTCTCCAGAATCAATTTCAGCGCCTGTGTTTGCACCAGCTGTGGAATTGCCCAATAGGTGGGTTAATGTTTGGGCGGTATTCTCCCTGGTTAAATCACTATCCGAATCCGAGGGCGGAAAACACTCTTTAGGCAAAAATCTTTAAATTAAAGGGGAATACAAATTAGACATGGAACTTGGATAAATAACATTTAAATGTACTCTTACTTGTGAATGACTGGCGATAGAACATCAGCATCCAACTTTTTCACCACAGTTGGTCCCGTCAAAAACGACACCACAGTTCCAACAAGAATCGTAGATGCAATGCCAATTGGATTTATCCAATGGAATGATAACCTATACAAGGGAAATACATCCGATTCATCGTAGTATGTATCATCGGGTAGAGTCATGTTGGCCGGACAATCAGCAACAGAAATGGGAAGTTTTTGTGATACCAAATCACCCTTTGCAAAGGATATCTGTGAACCAAATGATATCCAACCAGACATAATGGCGCCAGCAATAGCTCCAGCCAAAGCTCCTTTAGGATTACTCCAAGGTACCAGCATACCCAAGGTAAAGAGACCGCATGTAGTACCGGCGGCAATTGCCGTTACCGATGTTGCTACACTCAAAATACCGCTTAACTTTTCCAGCACAAACACGAGCGACACCGCTATACCACCCAGAATAACAATACATGTTTTGACAACAATTGCGGATGATTTTTCCGAAAGCTTAAAACGGAAACAGCCTTTGACAATATCTTCCAAGACCACTAAAGCAGTGGAATTTAAAACGACGGACAATGAGCTAAGAGCAGCACCGAATACACCGGCAATAAATAAACCAGGAATGCCATGTAAGTTACCAACCGTTTGCATAACATAGACCGGCAGGAGTTGATCGTCATTCTGAAATAAAGCATTTATTTTAAAGGATACATTGAGAAGGGTTAAAATGCAATTTATTCCTGAGTAAATATACGTACCGAAATTAAACCAGCCGTCAAAGGATCACAATTTCTATAAAAATTATAGACCAACAGTCCAGCAAAGCAGCAAACTGATATAAATAGTACAATGCCAATTGTAAATATGGCCACAGACCATTGGGCTTTCTTCAGCGAAGGCAATGACATATAACGCTGTACCATTGTTTGGTTCACCGAATTAAAAGATGTCCAATAGAAAAAGCCACCGATCAATACAGCCCACAAAGATTGACGTTCATATGGCGATGGGTTAATGCTGTGTGACGAAAAAAAACTTTAATATTTAAAAGAACCCACTGCTATAGCAATAACTTACTTTCCAAATATAATACGACCGCCATCGGCAGCAGTTTTGAATATGTCTGTAAAACCATCGGCATAAATTGTTCCCAAAATCACAACGATAACCACCGAAATGAACATGACAATAATTTGCCAGGCATCAGTATGGACCACAGCCTTGATGCCACCCTAAAATCAAGGAAAATAAGATTAATTTTGGTTCTTGGATTCTTTCGAGATTACATTTGGTACTTACTATGAGGGTATAGAATACACAAATGACGCAAATAACGCCGCTTACAATGTGGGTATTCACACCGGTCACTGCAAAGACAAAAGTCAATGATGAAGATCGTTTCTTATGTGAGTATAATTTGTTCTACCCTTTACCTTGACTAAATGCTATCGCAGGAACATACAAAATGATTGGCAAGAAGAAAATCTGCAAAAATTAATTATTTTTAAATAAATTCATTATATTCTAATTCGATTTTTTTAACTAAAAGATAATTTACTTACTTCATCCATTACAAACATTATGGAGGCAATGCTTCGAATTGTTGGATTAAAGCGCATCTCTAAATACTGAAAAGAACAAAAATTTCAAAGGTGAGAAATTTTGTAAAGAAAAATTAACTAATTTCTATTAAATAAATTTCAGTTAACTTAAACTTTTATTCTGAACTCCAAACACATCAAATGATCAATTATACAAATTTATGAGTTATTTTAGTAACATTTTCAAGAACAAAAAGTTTACTTTTATAATGCCAAGTAATGTGTTCGGAGTCACATTGTGGGCACGTCCGAATGCAAAACCGAATGTCGAAATATATATCAAACTAAAGGATCTCCTTTGTATGTAGTCAAAACTATGTAGAAGCCTTGACACCGTTTGGCCTAAGAAACCAAAACTTCTATGGAGTTCTTATCTTAGAACGAGTACTATTAAGTCCACTTGGCATTTTCCATAACTCAGACTGGCTATTGAACAGTGAAATTTAAGAAAATTGGCAGCAAATTGGAAAAAAGTGCTAAATTTTTCAGAAATGAACGATTTTTTATGGTTTTAAATAATTTCTTTAATTTTAATTTAATTGTGAGTTTCTTTGCCTCAGAAACTCACAATTAAATTTAGAAGTATATTAAATTTCCAAGTATACTACAACATCGCCTGAAAGTAACATAGGCTATATACATTTCTTAAACTCCACTTGGAACTATCTCCAGCATCAGAATCGGAAGTACCTCCAAACATATTTTCGGCCGATTTCATGTGTTTGCTGCATTAAACACGCTGTGTAAGAAATTTGGAATTTGGAATTTGGAATGTGTAATGGAATTTGTTTGCTTAAATATATTGAAATCGGTTCAGATTTGGATATAGCTCCCATATACATTTCGGCCGATTTCATGTATTTGATGCACCAAACACGATATGTATGTTCAATTCCAATGAAATTTGGAATGTGTGGCGGGATTTTGATCAGAAAATAAATTTGTCAAATTATATTGAAATCGGTTCAGATTTAGATATAGCTCCTATGTATATTTTCGACCGGTTTTACATATTTGATGCACCCAACGCGATATGTATGTCCGATTACAATGAAATTCGGACAGAGAGACAAAATGTGGTACCAAAAAAAAAATTGCCAAATTTTATTAAAATCTGTTACATATACAGGGTTGTCCATATTCGACGGACCCATCTGGCAACGCCATAACTTTGGAGAGATGTCACATCACTTAATGACATACCGCGTTTGAGGCGTCAGTCCAAGCAGGTTTTTACCATGAACCAATACACGCGAGCGCTCTGAAATAGTTGAAACTTACATTCAACAGAAGAAGTCAATTGTGAAAACTCAACGTGCTTTTAAAACATTAAAAAATGTGAGAAGTGCGCCTTCTAAGAACACCATTAAGCGTTTATACGAAAAATTTTCGACTGGTAAGGCTCTTTCTAATCAGAAGAGGCCATATAAAAGTCGACCAAGGCGATCGGCCGAGAATATCGCTGCCGTACGAGCCAGTGTTGAGAGGTCCCCAAGAACATCCCAAAAACGCCGTTCTCAGCAGTTGGGCATGGCCACTTTACAACGGATTATTCGCATTAATTTGCATTTGTTCCCGTACAAAATTCAATTGACGCAAAGAATGTTGCCTGCGGACAAGCCTCGTCGATTGGAATGGGCCCAAAGAGTCATGGGTCCGTCGAATATGGGCAACCCTGTATATCCAATTTCAATAAAATATGGAAGGAGTGACGAAATTTGGTGTCAAAGTAAATTCTGTCAAATTATATTTAAATCGGTTCAGATTGGGACGTGATTTTATTAAGAAGCATTGACCCGCGAAGCCTTTGCAATGGAATTAGGCTAACAGTAAAAAATTATACAACAATTTTATTGAAGATACGAATATTACGAAGAAGTATCTATCTTAAATGGACTAATTGCAACAGAAATGCTACTCAACTTTAAAAGATTGCCGTTTCCTGCATGCTTGGCATTTGCTATGAAATTAGAAAATCCGAAAGACAAACCCTTCGGGTATGCATGGCATGTTCCTGCTTTTGTCATGGTCAGCTGTTCCTGTCATGTTCACGCGTCGGTAGACCGAGATATTTGTTTATTTGCACATAAAAGTATCACAATATTTTTTTTTTTAAATTTTTGAATTTGTTTATTTTTTTAAACCAACATATATTCCTATATAAAACTTTGAATGCATATAAAATCAAAAGGGGTAGTGAAGTGCATCGGGTTCAGCAAGTTAAGTATAAAGGGAGATTTTGACTCGGCTGACATCATATCGGGGCTACAGACATACATTTTTAGACGGACTCATAATTTATATTCTCTATGGGATCTCCGATTAATATTTTGAATAATAAACCAGTAACGGAAGTCTTAAAGTGGGGCAGGGCTGACTTTATGATACCCTACACCCCTTGGCATATTTAGTAGAGCTTCATATAACCAATAAAAATATAACAAATCGGACGAACAATAAACATGGGAGCTATAGCTCCTAATTAATCCTAAATTGTGTTTTTATGTAGATTCTTAGCGTTCAGGTAAGAATTATACTATATTTTAAGAAAGGATTTTCGATTTAAATATATTGGTAAATTTATTTGTTCCTGCAATGTTGCTAAAAACTCTATGTACCTAAAATAAGGAATCTGAATCAAAAAAATTCCAAAAGTTTTGTAGGAGGAGGTACTTTTCTAAACGCCGATACACGTTAATCCCTTTTTCTAGCTCTATTTTTATAACCTGTTGGATTTTCCCGAAATTATTTCTTGTGTCCCACACTGTAATTAAAATATGTTTCAATTAATTGTCTATAATTTGTAAATATTTTCACATCGAAATTGAAATTAGGTTACTTTGAATTAATTCTACCACGGATCTGCTAAAACTCCTATCGCAATGTATATTGGTTAATCTATATTCAGTTTGCAAAACCCGTTTTCGTCATTTTAAAAGTTGAATTGAGTCATGATATGAGTGAATCAAAATCAATAATTTAAATATCATAAATATTTTTCGGACAATAAGAACTCAATTAAAAAAGAGAAAATTCTCTTAATACAAGTTACTGAGTAAGTTTTTCAGTAAATCATTTTCGTACACACCTAATATATTTTCTCACAAGTATAATAGCAATCACCGGCCTTGCATTCTAACTCATTATAGCATTTTCATAATAAAAATTCGCAAATCAGTCTGCCTGATAAGAAAATAGAAATATTTTTTTGTTCTTTTCGAATTATATCCATCATTAAAATAGAGTGATTGATTGATTGATTATAGTGTTTATGACTTTTTCCACAAACAGAAAAGTATGAAAACTTAATTACACTACCCAATGATTATTGTAGGGGTATTGTTGCTCTGTTCACTATATACAACTATACTGTATACTTATATAACTAAATCAAAAATTATGGATAATAGTGATTGCAGATTTAATACTTGTTTTTATACCTTCCACCATTCTATAGATGGTATATTAGCTTTGTCATTCCGTTTGCAACTCCTCGAAATATTTACAATAAACCCTACAAAGTATATATATATTCTGATCAGCGTAAAAATCTATCACGATCTAGCGATGTCCGTCTGTCCGTCTGTCTATCTGTCCGTCTGTCTGTTGTAATCACGTTATCTTTCGAACGAATGGATATAGAAGGCTAATATTTTGCATACATGCATAGTTTACCAGTAAGCAGTCTGAGTTCGTAAATGGACCATGTCGGTCTACGTTTTTGTGTAGCCCCCATATAACGCTACCTCCCGATATTCGATATTTTCATGATTTTAGCGACATTATTTACCGGAATTATTTCAAATTTCGTATTAGAAGTTCTTAACGGGTACTGCACCCTATGACAATATTGTGTATGCAGTTTGACGTCTTCGTATAGCCCCCATATAACGGTACTTTCCGATAGTCGTTATTTTGATGATTTCAGCAACATTATTTACCGGATTCGTTTCAAATTTTATATTGGAAGATCTTAATGGGAGCTACAACACCTTGGAAAAAATTTTGCTATGCAGGTCCACGTCTTCGTATAGCCCCCATATAACGGTACCTCCCGATAGTCGGTATTTTGATGATTTTATCAACATTATTCCCTGTATCGTTTCAAATTTCGTATCGGAAGATCTTAATGGTTACAGCAACCTATGGCAAAAAATTTCGTATGCAGGTCCACGAATATCGGCACCTCCCGATATTCGATATTTTAATGATTTTAGCAACATTATTCACTGGAACTGTTTCAAATGCCGTATTTCGTAATTGTTACTATAGCATATGACAATTTCGTAAGCAGGTGCACGTCTTCGTATAGTCCTCATCTCAATTAAATGGTAGTTTTTGGAAACTTTTCAAGTTGCTCCCAAATGGTGGAGGGTATTAAAAGTTCGGCCCGGCCGATATTGTCGAAACCCATCATTCCCATCCCCATCCATTCGGCAAATATTAAAAAATGAGATCGGGGTAAACCCGTTGAAATCCCAAGAACTTACACCGCAACAGAAAGAAAATAGACTCAAAAGAGCTAAAGAGTTGCTTCGCTTGGCCGAAAGTGGTGAACTGCCGAATTTGGTTTTCTCCGATGAAAAAACAGTCGTTGTCCAGCAGTTTTTAAACAAACAAAATGATCGTGTTTACTTGCCAAAGAGGTCAACTAAAAATGTGCACCTTCGGTTGCCACCAGAACTTAAGCGCCGGCCAGGGTGATGGTGTTGACCACCATAAAAGCCGGTGGTCGCTCTCCGCTCGTATTAATCGACCGTGGCATCATTATCGTGCCGAATATTATCGCGAAAATATTCTGGAGGGTGTATTAAAGCCTTGGGCACGCAAACATTTGGCCGCAGACCTTGAACATTCCGACATGACTCAACACCATCGCACTCAGCACACGCCTCCCAAGAATGGTTACAAAATGAGGTTCCTCGCTTCATTTCCAGAGCACAATGCCCACCAATATCTCTGGATACCAATCCGTTGGACTATTGTGTCTGGAGTATTTTGGAAAGCAAGGTTGGCAAAAAAAAATACCAAAATGTAGATCACTTCAAGCAAGCGCTTCGCCGGGTGTGGGCCAAAATACCGCAGAGCAACATTCGGGCAGCATGTGACGGTTTCATTGGCCCTTTGAAGGCCATAATTCGTGATAAAGGTGACCGATTCGAACAGATCTAAACTTATTCTACAATTGTATGCTATTTCCGACATTTTTTGCTCTTATTCAAAAAAATTTAAAAAGAAAAATTAAAATTATGGCGTTTGACTTTGTTGCAGTTTTTTTATCTCACCCTGTATAATAATGTACTATAAAACCCTGATTCCCAATATTTTTTCAAATGTTGGATTTTATTGCATAGTGCCATTTATTCGGTCACATCTATTATCCTCACAAATATAACAGCTAACACTAACTTTTATCATTGGGGGCGATACAAATTTTAATTAAGAAACCATAGTTAAAATCGCTAATAAAGTTGTACTTTCTTATCTATTAACACATCGGTTTATAAAACCACACGTACATTTTTTTAGCATTTATTAGGTGTGCACGTGTTTGTTTTTTGTTTCCATTTCGATATCATGTTGTTTTTGTTGGTGAATGAGAATTGTTTTTATCGGAAAGCAAAAAAAAAAACATTGATTAATGTGTGACAAATTTTATGTGATTTTTTCCCTTAATTGATAATTTTTGCGCCCAACTAAAACAGTGACGGAACAAGCCATAATATTGTGAAACATGTGAGTGCCAATGAATTGTGTCAACAATTTTATGTTAAACAAAATATTCAATTAACAGCGCAACACTTTGTTCAGACAAAAATACTGCCTTAAGTGGTTCGATAGCGTATCTTAGACGTTCATAGAACAAAGTCCATTTGTTGATTGTTTATTGCATTGTACATTGATATGACTATAGACATCCATTGTTGCCAAATTCGGGGGAATTCAAAGTTATAAAAGGCGAAAAGAGAAACTTTAAACTTTCAAGAAAAAAAATTAACGTGGTGAGATTTCTAACCCAGCGTTAACAAAAACAAGTCATGTATAAATTGTCAAAGTTGAGAATTTTGTCTATGTGAAGCAGTCGTCTAGACAATTAAAAACAAACGTATAATTATGTATGAAATTGCTTGTTCTTTTCTGTCGTTTGTTATTATTATTATTAAAACTTGTTAGCATCTATTGTCTTTGGAAAATGCTAGAAAGCAAAGAAGATAATCAACCACACAGGTATGGGCCAAAACTACTCGCATAGTTTTCTCATGGAGTTCTATCCACCATGTGATGGTTTGGAAGATTTCTACGTTGGCAATCAAACAAGTAAAGCAACGAAGTGGACCTGTCTTATGTAGACTTTGTGAGAACATCTTCTATACAGGTACTCTGATAGCCAAGTCAAAACAAACAAGTAAAAAAGCTGTAAGTTCGACCGGGTCGAACTTTGAATACCCTCCACCATTTGGAACGAATTTGGCAATTTTCAAAAAAAAATAAAAAAAAAAATAAATAAAATCCGTTAAAAATTTCTTAAAATCTTAAAAATACCAAATGAAGCCGTCATCTTAGGATCCAAACGACGACGTGAACCGGCATAGGCCACTTTTGTCATAAGTCATTACAATATTCAAATGCGAAACTTGAAAAAATCGGTGAATAATGTAGCTAAAATCATTAATGTAGGGAGGTACTATTATATGGGGGCTATACCAAAATGTGGACCTGCACAGACAATTTTCTACCTGAGGCTGCAGTATCCATTACGAGCTTCAAATACCAAATTTGAAACAATTCCGATGAATAATGTCGCTAAAATCATCAAAATACCAAATATAGGAAGGTACCGTTATATGGGGGGCTATAAGAAGACGTGGGCCTGCACAGAGTATTTTTTGACTCAGGCTGTAGTATCCATTACTAACTTCAAATACCAAATTTTAAACAATTCCGGTAAATAATGTCGCTAAAATCATCAAAATACCGAATATCGGGAGGTACCGTTATATGGGGGATATACCAAAACGTGGACCTACATGGCCCATTTTCAATACTAAAAGTCCTGCAGAGATAATATACATTTGAGTAAAATTTTATCAATCTACTTCATTTCGTTCGGAGGCTAGGGTGATTTCAACAGACGGACAGATGGACGGACATCGCTATATCATAGAATTTTATGCTGAACAAGAATACATATACTTTGTGGGGTCTAAAATGTATATTTCGAGGTGTTGCAGACGGAATGACAAACTTAATATACCCTCCATACTATGGTGGGGGGTATCAAAATAGGCCTAAAATCCGATAAATGGCTACCCTGCCAGACATTCTTGTTCTAATCCCAAAGTCTAAACTAAACAAATGATTAGCAATTATTTTGTGTGTGAACGTCACTCTGATATGGATTCTCATTCCATTGTTATTTGTAGCCAATAACAATAATCGCAATGATTTGGTATAAAGAAAGACCAACTTAGATAAGATACGCATATGTATATCACGATACATACAGGGGAATAACACTTACCTCGTAGGAGGACCCAACACGTAGAGCAGCAAAAACCGGCAAATATACCTTCGATACAGCAATGGCCATAAATACAATTGATACAATAATCAACCAATATTGTGTACCAAAATTATAGATCTCCGACACGGTACCGAGTATGGTAACACCTGATACATAGCTAAATAGCTCAAATTAGAAAAAAATGCAATTAACTTGGGAATACGATGAATGAGAGTTCTTAACTTACCTACCGACCAGACTCATGGCTACTGGGAAAATTTTTAATTTTCTTGATCCCAATAGGTATTCATTCATCTTCGAAGAACCAAAATCCGTGGTCCTCTTTGCCTTGGTGGCCTCCACATCAATGTGTGGTATCTTTTTGCCAACTTTTTCTTTTCTGTAAAAATTAGGGTCAATGTATCAGAAAAAGATATAGGACAAATGCGAAGCTGTGTACCTGAAGTATCCATAGTAAACACCTGTTCCTGTTGATAGAACAATCATCAGCACGAACACAACATAGTCGGCCCAATGGAAATGAAATTGGCCAAAGTCTTGATATTCTCTCATCTGAAATAAAAAATAAAAATATTTAATCTATTTACTTCCATTAGAAAATGATGAGGAATGGATTTTTTTGTTAGTGTAGGTATATAAACAAAATCCGGGACGCACACAGGGTGGGGTCAGGACTTTTCCAAATGACAAATCTTCTGCCATTTTTAGTATATTTAACTACAACGTTAATCTTTTGCTAGTTAGGTCCGCCGAAATGGTTTCGAAATGAATTTCTACATCCCTGGACATAATATGTATTATAAGGCAATTGACTCAGGAAATATATATCTTAATATTGGTATACTTTTCTCTTAGATTTGAAGATTATATCAAAGTTTGTGTTATTATTTTAGAAGAAGTTTTAAATTAGAAGTACCTTAGATTCTTATCTACGATAAAAGTTGGGTCTGGTACATTTCCGAGCTAATTGAGTTCTTCCCAAATCAATCAGGCTCAGATAAATGCAGGTACTCGTTTTACGCTCACTTAGAGTAATTTTCTCCACTCAAACAATTAGAATCGTTGAAAAACAAATAAAAAAAGGACATTAAATTCGGGCCGGGCCGAACTTCTAATACCCCCCACCATTGGATAAAGAAAACATTTTTAATGCAAAAGTATCTGGATTCAAATGTGTTCCACTTTAAACTACAAACTCCAGTAAGATCGGTGGGAGAATGGTTGGAGCCGTTATATGTAGGCCATACTGAAACGGGAGTCTATATAGACCAATTCATACTACAACGACAAATTTATACTATTGCGTGTCTAAAATATCAATTTTTTCATAATTTCGTGGATAAATGTAACTAGGATGACTAGGACCAATATGTACAATGTTTTGAAGCCGGTTGTAGAACCCATTATGAAGTAAAAATACCAAATTTCATACAAATCTATATTAAACTGTGGCTTAAATCGTCAAAATATTGAATATCCGATGGATGTGCTCCATAGGAAAACGTGGACCTAGATATTCAATAATCTGCCTCCGGAGCCATTACGTTATGCCGTTATACAGGGGCTATACGAAAACGTGCACCTATATGTACAATGGTCCTCCATCGGTGCTACAAATCCGTTGAAAAATGTTGCAAAAGTCATCAAAATACCTAATATTGGGAGATACACTTATATAGGGGCTTTAAAAAAACGTAGACCTACATATACATTGTTCCGCCACCGGAGCTAGAACCCATAACGAACTACAAATACCAATTCTTTGGCAAATCCGTGGAAAAATATGGCAAAAATAATCAAAATTCCAATTACGGGGCTATACGAAACCGTGGATCTATATGTACAATATTCTGCCACTAGAGCTAGAACCCATAACGAACTACAAATACCAATGTGGGCAAATTTGTTAAACCAATCAAAATACCGTTATATGGGGGCAATCCCAAAACGTGGACCGATATATCTCATTTTCAATACCAATCATCCTAGACACAATGCAAACTACTGTGCCAAATTTTAAAGCTCTACGTCAAATAATGTGAGCTGCATCGTGATTTCAACAGGCAGACGGAGATCGTTAAATCGACTTAGAATTTTATGCTGATCATGAATATATACTTTATGGGGCCTATGACAAATATTTAGAGGTGTACAAATTTAATATACCCTCCTTTCCAAGTTGGAGGGTATAAGGAGCAGTTAAGTTCCCGGCCGAGCTTTTAATGCCTTCCACCACTTGGAAGGAATTTGAAAAAGTTCCGAAAAATACCGCTTAAATGAAAACTGTTATATGTGGGCTATACAAAGACGCCGATTTGCATAGAAAATTTTCTGTCATAGGTTGTAGTAGTAACAATTCCGGTAAACCATGTCGCTAAAATAATCAAAATACCGAATATCGGGAGGTATCGTTATATGGGGACTATACGAAAACATGGACCGATTATGGCCCATTCACGAAGCTAACCTGCCTACTGGCAAAATACACACCTGTGCCAAGTTTTAACCTTCTATATTAATTCGTTCGAAAGATAGAGTGTTTTCCACAGACAGACGGACATAGCTAAATCAACTTTGAATATTACGCTGATCCAGACTATACATACATACATATTTCGAGTAGTTACAAACAGAATGACAAAGTTAATATACCCTCCATAGAATGATGGAGAGTATAAAGAGAGTAAAACATTTGGGAGAATATAAAAGCCCGTCCCCGTTCTAAATTTAGAATTGTTTGATTTAAAATGTTATTTTATTTGGATCATAATTTTCGGTATACTCGTGTACTAAACATGTGTGCTTTACTTCAAAGACCATCTGTTTAATCTGACAATTTAATCTCCACAAATTGTTAAACTAATAAAATAGTACCTGACTATTTTATTACTGAATGTAGATCTTATATGCCTATAATTAGCACTGTTGTTCTGTTTAAATAATTATATAGTAGGCAATAAAATATTTAACATTTGTAAGTGTATGCATGCAGGTGTATTTGGAATTTTGATTAGATTGAGTGGTATAGTTTAATCACATTTATGTGGTAGGTTTTACTTAATTTAAACTGCAGGGAGTCTATAGCGGTTATTTTTTGCATTTTTCTTCCATAATTGGCGATTTTAGAACAATAAATAAAAATAGGAAATTAAACGGCAATATCCAATTTGTCGGATGTTTTCGTTCATACCCTTTGAAAACCTTAAAACTCTTTAAATATCTCAAAGTAATGAGTACATTTCATAAAATCCGAGGCAGGCATTTAAATGTGCATAAATCTTTTGTGTCTCTTTGTTGCATTTTTTTATCTCACCCGTTGGTCTAACCTATATGGTACGTCCCCCAAAAGGGGTATATAAACGAGTGGTCAAATACCGAGTTCTGGCAAAAGACTCTAATGTCCTCAAGTCAGATGCTTTATGTTTAAAATTTTAAAGCTATTCGGGACTGTATTATAGTTTAGCGATCTGTTGAAAGAACTCGAAAGTATTATCTTTAGATGCGGCATATAAATCTTAACTCGAATATACTCAGAGAATATTCTGATCAGCCCGATTAATAGGAAAAATTTCTTTAATCCATAATTTATCTGGAAACTAATCTAATCTGAACATTATTGCAGGTCACCACTGGACTACTTCTTTAACACAAAAATTTATGACAGTGACGAAAACGACAATACAATTTGGTTCAGAAATAAGATGAAAGAAATAAAAGATGAGGAAGGGATAGAGATAGACACACAAGACAAATACTAGATAGATACTCTAACCATCTTATCGGAGGGTACTTTCAGATTCAGATCCATGTAGTCAATATCAGATCCATGTTTCCATAAAAATTGAACCTTTCTTAAAGAAGCCGGAATTAAATAATTTAACATATTGTTAATTGTTAACATCAAGCTAATTTCTCCATCACAACATGACCTACCTCAATTTCTAACACAATAGACCATGAGCAATAATATCAATTCAAATCCATTGGAACTTTATTATTCAATTAAAGTAATTTAATCTATTCAAAGAAGAAGAGAAACAACAACAACAAAATATAACAAATGAATATCGTTGCCTTGTTTGGTTTTCTTTAATTGAAATAGTACAACTCATTCTGAAATGAATTCCCAATAACACAAAGTTCAAATACAATGGAAAGGGGCAGACATACCCGAATCGTCCAAAGTCCGCTCAAGCGCAATTCTTTAATTAAAACAAGTGTAAAAGTCAATACCACGCGAGGAACAAAAAAAAAACATATCAATTGTCACTTTACATGTAACAAACAAAGCAATGAGTAGTGAATCGATTACGGGCAACAAAATCGAATGATTGCTTTTATTTGTATTCACTGACATATGTGTGAGAATAGATAGGTGGTGGGTTCACAAACAGAGGCCAATGTTCAAATTGTTTTTACATGTACTTCAAAAATTACTAACAATATTCCAAATCTCAAATGATCCAAAAAAATTTTTTTTTTTTGCTGGAGCTACTTTTTGGTGATTCACTGACCATGCCAACCAAAAGCTTTTATATCTAGCGAAACTTCACTTCAAATAGCGTATCAAATGGTTGAGCCCGTAAGTGCATTTTTACAAGCAATCCCCATCCAGCCACATAATGGAAATTTTTACAGAATTGATGACTCGATTATATTGCATTCACATTATTGTAGTTTTTATTACAAATTCCAACGATGCAAGACGAACGACATTTGCAAAGTTAAATTAATGTTGAAATGCATGGCATTTCAAAAACAAAAACAAGCTGTACTAAAGAATTTATTATCTTTATCGCTGCTGAAATCATGTGCATCTTTATGCAAAATAACAGAATCAGACCATAATTTAATGTTTATTGATAATAACAATTTCAAAAAAATATACTGCACAGACAATTTTGCAATCTGATAAGAAAAGTTTAATAACACTTATATGAAATCGTTCAAAACCAAAAAGCAAAATCTACGGAAAATATTGCCCCCAAGAAACGGCGTTTGTATATATTTGTGCAATAGATAATCTAGGCAAATCTGGAAACAAGTGTAAGCAGTGTAAAGTTGGAAAGGGTCGAACTTAATTACTTAATTTTAACCTTTCAACAAGAAAAAAAGCAGCCAAGTTCGGTCGGGTCCTCCATCATTTGGAAGGAACTTGAAAAATGTAAAAACACTTCCGTAAACTACCACTTAAATGAAAACTGTTATATGGAGACTATACGAAGGCGTGGACCTGTATGGAATATTCTTTGCAAGAAGAAAACAGACCTACCAAGTCGATATTTTTGGTCATAGACTGTAGTACCCATTACGACGTTAAATACCAAATTTGAAACAATTCCGGTGAATAATGTATCTAAAATCATCAAAATACCGAATATCGGGTTGTACCGTTATATAGGGGCTATACGAAAACGTGAACCATTTGCATGAATGCAAAATATTAGCCTTCTATCTCAATTCGTTCGAATTCGCGTGATTACTACAGACAGCCGGACATCGCTAGATCGTCTTAGAATTTTATATTTATAAAAATATGTCTTACAGTGCCG